CAAACAAACTTGTTTTTTTTGTTTTTTTTTGTGTAAGGTGCTTAAAAGAAGCCTAAAGGAGTCTTAACAGTCTTGTCGCAGAGGACCGCGGAACAGTCTTGTCGCAGAGCACCGCGGAACAGTCTTGTCGCAGAGCACCGCGGAACAGTCTTGTCGCAGAGCACCGCGGAACAGTCTTGTCGCAGAGCGGAAGAACATTTAACTAGGAAGGTCACGTCTTCTTTATAAACTTTGTGAACAAATTAGTTTCATTGCTTCTAAAAATAAATGTAATTAGTTTTTTACAATTATAGTATGGAATGATGGTAAAGTGATATTTTTATTTTGATATATATTATATTTAATATATTATTTTTGAACCTTTAAACTTTATAGATATTCATACAAGATTAACGCAAAAACATATTTTCTTTTTAAACAACTAGGTACAAAAAATAAAGTAATAATTGACACATTTTTTTTAAATGCATAGAATAAACTTAGTTTAATAGATAAATGTCCACACAGGTTCTCCAACTGTCAGGAATGTCTTAAGCTATATACAAATGTGTTGTCTATGACACTAACAAACACTAAGCTCTGCAATAAAGTACTTGCGCAATAAATTGCGCAAGTACATTATTGCGTGAAACGAATAAAAAATTTAAAAAATAATACTATTTTATGCCAAAAAAAAAAAATGTGATACCTTTGATACTTGATTCAAACCTTATTGAAAAAGTATCATGAACTATCACCAAAAAACTTTTAAATAAACTTGCAAGGTTATTCAAATAAAGTGTTGAAAAATATTTGGAAGAAAAAGCAGTTTATCATACTAAAAACTACACAAATAAATGGAAAGAAAACAAATTTTGGAGGGAGTTTCTTGTTTTTCAAGTACAAAAATCAAATTTTTGTCAACTGGGACGAAAAAAAATGTTATTAACAGTAACAACTAAATATGGACATGAAATTGTAAAACATTTTCTATTAAGTAAAGATGTTGAATTATGTTTTTTTTTTAATATAAAAGCCAAATAAAATAAAAAGACGATGTAAAAAGAAAACACATGCAACAAATATAAGTATATCTCTGCTGAACCAACAATAAAAAAAATAAAGTTAAATATAAAAAGAAAGTGTCTAAACAAGAATATACCATTGGTGAATTAGTTACACTCTAAAAGTTCCAAATCCTTACAATAATAGACAATAAATCTTTTAAAACTACTGAGGTTAAGGTAGCAGGTAGACAAATCCCTCTGAATCATACCAGAAAAATACTTACTGAAAAGCTTAAATGTTTTATGCAATTACATTCAGAATCTAAAATATTGAGCAGCCGTGACGCCATGGTTAGAGACCTTGCTCTAGAAGCAAGAGATCCAGGGTTCGTAGCAAGCTCTGTGCATCTTACGCGCCAGCGGTAGAGAAGGAGGCGTAGAGCGAACTTTCTCGTTAAATGCTTTTCCGCGGTGCTCTGTGACAAGACCGTTAAATCTTCTTTGGTCACCTAAAAGAAAAGTTTAAAAAAAATGACAAGGTTAGAGAAAAACTAAATAGTACTAATGAAAATGACAATAGCATTCACGCACTTCAGGATTTGAACAGAAAAAGACACATTTGGCATGATGGATCTACTATAAACAAGTATTCGCAATTACTGTGTGATGATAATATATTAAACTGAAAAGGGGTTTTATGAAATTCATGGTAATAAAATTGATGTTGAAACTCATATTGAAAAATCTGAACTTTATATATTTTTTCGTTGTTCATTAACAGATAAGCAACTTATGTGCACAAATACTGGAAATGAAGATAACAGACTTTTAGGAGAGCCAATAGATATAAATGGTAAAATAATTAATGATAAAGTGCGTTTTTTTTATCGTAATGCACCTACTTGTCAGTTTGAGATTAGAAAATAAAAAGTAGCTGATTATCTTTGTTGTTCTTAAGATGCATCGCTCTAACGAAACAGCTCATTTATTTTATCAATCTTTGCTGAGCGTAGAAAATAGAGCAAAGAAGCTCATACTTATGAGTCTTTTATTCATTTAGCAGTAATAACAGAAGAACCAGAAAAAAAAAGTTCAGTTTAGATGCATTAAATAATCAGATCAAAGAGCCTATGCATGGACCAAACAACTAGTACTCCCCATTTTTCTGATGTTTCAACCAAGCTTTGTGTTCAACCTGATAAGAAAATCACTTTACCAATAAAATTTTTAAAAGATATCAACCGGTAACAACTTTTTTAAGTGAACTACATTTATCAAATGACACCATTACCAAAACAAAATCAAATACAAATACAGTTAATCTTAGAGATAAGAAAATATCAGCAATAAAACCATTAATTTAAAAGCCTAATATTTATGTCAGCTTTTTGTTTGAAACACATACAGCAGCACTCTTATTTAAGATTTAACAAGAAGAATATGATTTTTGCGAATCTTTTGTGAAAGTTCAAGTTAATTTAAAGCAGAATGATTTAGACAAAATTTAGGCTGAATTAAAATCAATAGAAAATTTCACACTAGGAGTTTGTGGCAATTTAACACTAACTTCAAAAAACAGATCGAGAATGTGTTATTGCGAGCTTATACCATAACAAAAGAAAATAAAAGAAAACAAATAAATTTACTGAGATATGAATTTTTAACAGAATTTTTATTTTAAATAATTATGATAAGCATTTTATAGCTATGATGTTAAGATGTTCTAGTGATAAATAATAAATAAAATGTTGTCATTAAATATAATTATATGTTGCCAGACTTCGTTTTTATTTTAAATCATAAAAAACTAACTAATAGGTAGCAGCCATGCCAAAGCCTTATTTAAATATACAGGTTTTATATTTAGGCTTTCGCATGCCGTGGCCTAATAGAATTAGTATATATAGTATAATAAATGTTATACATGAAAAACGAAGACATGTTTTTATGTTGGTTTTTGTTGAAATTAGCCCATAGCTTGATGGAAGAAAATGATGTTATATAAATAAAATCAAATGGTGTAATTAATGAATAACTAAATCACAACTCAAGCATCAAAATGTTGTATATTATACATTATAAATTTGTGTAGCTAGAACAGCACAAAATGAGGTATATATTATTTCATAATTTATTTCAGCTGTTTTTAAAAATAGCGTATTGCTCATAAATATACCAAACACAAATGTATTAAATTGTAATTCGGTTCACAAATGATGTCAAAGAAAAACTTCAATATATATCAATAATTATATTGATGTATCTCATCATGAGATATATCAACATAATTATAAAGACATCTTGCATGAGAATCTCATGCAAAACTGTTGTAATGCTTTGGTTATTTATAATATTTTTGCATTACTTATGAACTATTTTTTTGCATAAATTAACTATCAATGAATATAAAGTTGATAATATTAAAGCAGTGCCGGGGGATTAGGGGGACGAAGACCTAGACCCCACAAATTAAGGGGCCCCCAAAATTTTAAAGGAGCTTTTTTTTATTTAGTTATTTTTAGGCTCTGGCCCATAAAAAAGGCATCCAAAAACAAAAATAGCCCCGGGCCCAAAGAAGTCTTAATCCGCCACTGTAATAAAGAAAAATATAAATATAAAATAAGTATATAAGTTCTTGAGATTGCTACTAACAACCAATCGGAATTGTTTAAATTTATCGGGTTTTTAGTTACGAGTTTATCGTAAAATGGGGTCAAATGGAATAGTTAAGGATTTTAATTATTTATTTTTTACGGAAAAAAAATTTTAAAGTTGTAAAAAATTTTAAAGTTGTAGAGAATATTGAGCTGTATTTGAATAAATAAAATTAAAAAAATTAAAAATTAAAGTTTTTTATAAAACCTTACTTGATTAAAAAAAAAAATATTCCTTTCTACACCTACGTACGGGGAGAATGAAATACGCAAATGTATGCGTAAGTAAAATTAAAAAAACGAAAAGCAATTAAAAATAACAATTAAAAAAACAATCCATAATAACAATTAAAAAATCAATCAAATAAATTTTTTTTTTATTCTTGTGATAATGTTGAGTCGTTTAGAGGTGCTAGAGGTTGAGTTGAGTTTTCAGTTGTGCGGCACTTTTTAGTGCAATAAAACTGAATCGTTTTGGTATTCATGTTTGACAGAGCCAAACCTTGCAATTTAACAAGAGAACAACTAACGTATTTCATTCATTTATTATAATCATTTAATAAAAGCAGTCAGTAAAAGTCATTTATTTAAATTCAGATAGAAAAATTCGTTCATTGAAACTTATACAAAAATTTATAGCTGGAGATTTATTATTCACTTAAGAATTAATTTAAAAAAAAGCCTCACTTAAGAATTGCTTCACTTATTATTAGCGTATATCATTTAACCCTACAATTCTCCTTTACCGTTTTTTACTCATAACTTTTTTTCCTAAATAGCAAATTTAATTTTGGAAAAAGATTCTCGATCAGCGTAAAAAGTTAACATAAAACCTTTTAGGTTCAATAATATCAAATTTAATTTCCGAAAGTTTTAAGTTCATTTTTCAAAATAATAAAAAAAATCTTATTACGCATTCTAAAACTTAACAATTTGTAACAATATTTTTTTTTCGAAAATAAAATTTGACATCATCTTACTCAAAAAAGTATTCTCTACAACATTATCGAAAAATATTTGCAAAAAGATTATTCAATAATTAATTAAGAGCGAAAGAATAAACATTGTCATAATTATTTCATTCAACCCGCTATTTCATTTTACTCTGTTTTACTCTATTCTTTGCCTTCAGTTGTAATTTCTTCTTTTATTGGCTCCTAAATTTTCTGAATGGCGCTATTAAAAAGATAACTGTCGTTGAAGCGATTGTTATTAGCGATTAAAATGAATTCTAATTAGAGTACGTCATCGTAGTTTTGACGGTAATCGTTTCGTAACTACAACGAACTCATTTTTATCGCAGTTTTATTTTTATTTTCGTTGAGTAGCGTTACTTATAGTCCGTATTTATTTTTGATAAAAAATTATTAAGCTATAAAAATAAATTGTTTTTGTTAATGAATTTTTCTTTCTTAAAAAATTGAAATAATATGAAATTAATTTTAGACAATTTTTTAATCTGTATCCCATATCCATTCGTTTTTGTAAAAATTTACATTAAGTTATTTCAGTAGTTTTGTCAAAAAATGGGCTGTGTTCTCGGTGTTTGTGCAGCACAGGTAATAATTTTTTAATAATAAGAAGTCACTTCATTTTATAAAAATTATAACTCAAAATAGAGTTCTAGTTTTTAATACTAAAATTTTTTTTTTAATTAAACGTTCTTAAGTTTACATATTAATTTTAGATTGCATGTTGTTGCTGTTCAACTGCATGTTCATTGTGTTGTTCATGTTGTCCAAGCAGTGTGACATCTGTAATGACACGTTTAATGTATTTGTTTCTTATTGTCCTTGGCGTACTAACTTCATCAGTCTTTTTAATTCCACAAGTACAAAAGTCGTTATCAAAAAGTGTCAACGTATGTATTTTTTAAGTATTATGTTAATGCATTGTACTTGGGTTCATTTTTATGTCGAATTTTTTCTCTATTGTTGAAACAAACATGTGTTATGGCTATCTATTCATTACTAGCAACAACAACAACAAAAAGCTATATTATTTTATAACCATTTTTTTGTGTTTTCTTTTGTTTGTTTGTTTGTGTTTTCTTTTGTTTGTTTGTTTGTTTGTTTTTATATTAAATGTGTTTAGGCTTTTAAAAAATTTGTTCAAACTAAAATTGCTTTCAAATTTTGAATTAATAAGATGACTTTTTCTTTTTTTTATCCACATAAATGGCCAAAAATTATTCTTGTGAACAAATACTTGTTTTATAACTTGTTGGGTAATATTACAGTTATGCAGCCTAAAAAAATTCTGTTCTAGCACTTTAAAATCACAACTTTAAAATCATAAAATATAATTTTTATTATTATTTTTATATGATTAATAATAACTATTATTATTATAAATATACAAATAGTTATTTTAAATATTTATGAATATTATTTTTTTTGATATGGATTTTTACACCCTTCTCCATTTTTACAAAAAAAAAAAAAAAAAAAATTATTGAATAGCCACTCATGGGCTATATATGAATAAATGCGACAATAGAAACAGAGCTTATGCCATAACTGTATATAAAAACATACTCAGGCTACAGGTTCTAAAAATATTAACATTTTCTTTATTAATCATGGCAAAATATTTTTTTCACTGAATAAGATGGTCACAACTATAATTTATAAATTTTTTTTTTTTTTTTAACTAACATTTTATCAGATAAAGTAATTATTACTTTAAATCTTAAAATATACTAAGTTCGCACTAGTAAACCCATATGATTTTAAATTGATATAAAAAAGAGGTAAAAGATAATTTTAACTTAATTTTGCTAGCTTTGCCCTTTCAAAAAAAAAAAAGTAAAAAGAGGAAAGTTTTCTGTTTAGTTCTTATTTTTTATTATAGGAAAATATACTGGAAAATGTTATTACAAAAAATTAGCAAATACTTTATTCATATGTTTTAAACATGAAGATGTAATCAGTAAAAATATTGTCTTTAGAAATTTTAAAAAGATTAAAGCTTTCAAAAAGATTTATTATTCTTGTGATGATGCTGAATCATTGAAAGGTTCTTGAGGTTGAGTTATATTGACATTTGTGCTACACTTTTTGGTGTAGTAAAGCTCTTCACTTTTTACATATTGCCTTGTTATGCATGTTTGACATAGCCAAACCTTCCTTTTTAAAACTTTTGCACAAATACCATAGCATTCACTATTGATTTGTAAAGCTTGATTAAAACTCTATGGCTCTAATTACACTTAGTTTGTTGTTGTTGTTGTTGTTGTTGCTGCTGCTGTTGTTGTTACATCTTTTAATTGATTGATTGATTAACTGGTTTGTAATACATCTTTTTATTGGTTGGTTGCAATTGTTTTTACTACTGGCTTGCTGAGCGTTATAACAGAATGGTTTTATTCTGAATTAGATAGAAGGAGTAAGGCAAGAGATAAAGCTCTTAACATATCAAAGGTTTTTGATAAAAGTTGGCATGCTGGTCTTTTCCATTTACTTTATATGGTGTATCTAAAAAAGTTTTTAAAATTATTGTTTTTAATTACAGTATTGAAGTTTTTAATTACAGTATTGAAGTTTCAACACTTTCTAGTAACTTCTGGAGTACCTCAAGATTCCATCCATTTTCCTTTGATTTACCTAATCTATATTAATCTATATTAATGATTTTCCTGATCTTACCTCTAAAGTGGCTATATTTGATACAACTGATAATACAACTACACGCTCTAGTGTGAATAAAATGTCATTAATTTTTAGTTGCTTTGAATAGACCGCTGATTTTGATTGTAATCTCTCTTCTGTGACAGCTTGGGAATGCATTGGCTGGTAAATTTTAACCTAAACAAAGATATTTACTGCATTTATTTATATTTTGCATTAATTTATACAATTTATTGCAAAGTTAGCATCAGCTGAGCTTCTCCTTATTGTGGTTTACTCCTTATTCCATACTGTGGATTACTCCTTATTCCATTCTTTCACCTTTATAAATCTCAACCTTGTTAAGAATACTGTTTTCACATTTGGATTGATTTTTATTCTAACTAATGAGACACTCTCTCTTAAAAAAAAAGTGCAAAATTGCATTGTAAATGTTTTCTACCCTGTCCTAGTTGTTAAGCTTGAACCTCTTTCTCATGGTCATAAGGTTGCAGTGCTGACTTTATCCAAAGGCCAACTAGACCATGGCCTAAGAACATACAGAAGCTTATTCAGTTTAGCTTCTATATATGTTAATTCAAGATTCTATTCATCCAGAAATTTCTGAATCATTCATTAATTACTGTGACTTGAACATCCACAAAAATAAGGTTTATAAGGAAGGATGATATTTTGTTTTGAATTTCACAAGTACCTAAATATATTGAGTTTAAGAAGACAAAATTAGAAATTTAAGAAGACAAAATTGGAAATGGATTTCTATTGTTTTATTGATTTATTAATGTTTAAGAAGACAAAATTAGAAATAGATTTCTAATTTTTGTCTTCTACAAATGAATTAAAAGAATGAGTTTTTTTTTTGTTCATTAAAAAGCCATGAAAAATTTAGATTAAATAAGCCATCAAGGCTTATTTAATCTAAATTAATAAATTTTTTTAAGGCATAATGTATAAATGGGTCAATCTGCTGTGATTTGTACTTTAATTTAAAAAAATATTATCTAAAAATTTAGGTTCTAATAAATTATTTGGAGAACAGAGCAATTAAAACTTTCTTGAACTTTTTGAATTTAATTCAAAGTTTGATCTATTCCTCTCAGAACACACTAAAAGTTATGGTCGCACAATTTTTTAATAATCTAAAAATTATTAGCCACACTGGTGCGAATTTAGCCAAAGTTACTTTAAATTTTTTGAACAAACTTCAAGTCAACTTCACAGATTGCTGATCTTATAAAAATGTATATAATATGTTCATAAAGTATTATAAAATGCAAGCTAAATTTTTAGAAAAAACAGGCTTGCAAAATATTTTACTTGTACTGAACTTTAGGAGATGATGTTTGTCTAGAAGCCATAAATTATTCTGGTATTTTTCAGCAAAGTTCTAATTTTTTATTGTCAACAAAGTAATGGAAAGTTTTAAAAAACATGTATTTATGGTCATTTTAATTCAGAATTAACAAAATTCAGTTAATCTTATAAATGCTGTTACAAAAATATTTTCACTTGCAATGATCATTGTTTTGAAAAAACTGCCAGGGCTTAACATAGGGTTACCATATCTCCGGATTTGCCTGGAGATCTCCGGATTTAAGGCAAAAAATAAGGCTCCAGGGGATTTCAGAAAAAAACATGAAATCTCTTTTTGGAGGTTTTTATTTGTTTTTTATAAAAATTCGATATTTAATACTTAAATTTTAATACTTAAATGTATAAAACTAATAAATGCAAAATGTATTTAGTCATGTGTTCTCTTCTCTTGATTACACATTATTGAAAGATGTGCGTGCATCTAAACTTGCGAAAACGAAAGTCGTGACCGATAAATACGTTAAGGTAATAAAGTATTTTGGTTGCTGCTACACAATAAATAGTTCCTTTAATTTAAAGTTTTTAAGTAAAAGAATCGCTGCACTCTCAATAATTTTGTCTAAAAAATGTTTTTTAGTTTAAAAAAGAGAGGAATAAGTGTGAAGCTAAATTCAAAATTTGCCCAGCTGGATCATTTACTTATGTTTCTTCCAAAGATAAACAAATTACCTTATGTTAATTTTATTTATCTAATTCATCTTACAATCATAATTAAGCCAAAATTATGTAAGTTATGTAACCTTTGACCTGTTATTAGTCTCAATAACAAGAGTTAAAAGCTTTAAGTTGGATGAAACTTTACAATATCCCTATTTGGCATAAGTTGAAGACTTAATTGTAGACAAAAAAGTCCCTTTTTAATGTTAATAAATCATTGAGTCATGACCAATTTTCAAACTTATAAGTTCAATAAGTTTTTATTATTAAACAAAAACTTATTGAAAAAGATAAGTTCAACAAAAAAGTATAGTTGGTATAATTCATCTTCCCCCGTCCATAGTTCTTGGTCTGTTCCAACAAATGATTGGTCGATAACTGTGAAATTGATAACTGATTTAAGTGATTAGTTAAATACAAGTGAACAATGATTACAAGATGACAATAGAGACAAGTTAGATAATGGAGGAATAATTATTGGCTTGCGTTTTTATAGTATAGTATATTTAATAAAGAATAACTTATAAGACTTAATTCACCAAGAATTAATAATTGTAAGACAGCAATAAAATTGAATGTGAACATTTTGCAATTAAAATTAGGTTAATTTTAATTGCAAGACCAGCAATTTGTGTTAAAAAAGCAAATGACATTTAAAAAAAGGGGTTATTATTTATTTAATTCTCATAAAAAGGGTCCACTCTGGTAATGCCTTGTTAAATAATAAGAATTTTCATTCATTTAACACGTAAAATCAGGGGCAGGTTATTTCACTTGCCAAGAAGGGGGCTAAAAAGTTAAACAAAAAAAAAGTCTGCATATTTTCATTTTTAAGTTTTTATTTTGTTTTTTGTACTTAAGTATAATAATCATATACATATAATTACGTATAATAGTCAATTTCATTTGTCAGTATAGTAGTCCAATTCTGTATAATAGTCAATTTACAAAAGAATTTCTTGAAAAAAAGGCTTAAGGAGGGGGGGGGGGGGAGAAGGCTACTACCATGTCCTTCCCCCCCCCCCCCCCCAACTAAAACCCGCCACTGTGTAAAATTTCCTCTTTTTCAGTGATTACCATATGGCAATCCTAGCTTAACACAAATCATTATATCAAAAATGAACGTTTTTGAATTGGCTATTCAAAGAGTTTTTGAGAACACAGTTCTAGAAAATTTGAGAAGTTTTTAGATTTTAAATCTAGTGTAACTTGTCATTTAGCAGAGTTGTCTCTTTTTACTGTAACTATTTATTCATGCTGAAAAAACCTCTATCTAGTTTTTCTTAAACAATGGTGCTTTTGAATTTTCTCCCATTATCGTATTTTTCTGACTCAACCAGTTTACATTTTAAAGATTTCTGTCAATTTTTTTTCAGCTCTCTTTTTGCTTTCAGTTAACTCCTCAATTAAAAAGCTGTTGCTTACAGTCTTTTTGGGATTAAGATTATTTAAAAAAATAGTTTGTAATTGTAGATATTATATATATATATATATATATATATATATATATATATATATATATATATATATATATATATATATATATATATATATATATATATATATATATATATATATATATATATATATATATATATATATATATATATATATATATATATATATATATATATATATATATATAGCATGTTTATACAGGTCAAGGTAGTTCATGAAAATAATTGAATTTTCTGCTCTGTTGGGCTAAATCATTTAAGGTTTCCAACAATTTATTTCCAGGTTGTTGATTTTATTTTAATAAAATCATTTTTTCTATTTATTGTGAAGGAGAAGCCTAATCTATAGAGATTAGGTAATCTATCCAGAAAAGGGTTTGCAGTTTAAACATGTTCAGGTTTTGACATTCAAATATTTGCCACTTCTAAAAAAATTCAATTTCAAACTTTTTTTCTCTAAAAGTTCCAAAATGTATATATATAAAAGTTAAGTTCTTTGTTATCATTTTTTAACAGTTAACTGTTAAAACCAAAACATTTTTTATTATTCCTAATTTGTCTTGTGACAAAGTAACTCTTTTAAATGTTAAACAATTGGAATATGTACACAAATGCTTTAAAATGATTGCTCGTTGGTTACAAATCTTATGCAAATTAAAGAGAGTTCTGTAAAAGACTTTTTAAAGATATGATGGAAATCTTGTCTGAAGCATAAACTGTAGAACTGTTTGAGAATTAACTTTAGCATTTAAATTCAATTTTGATGTTTAACAATGGGTTAATCTGTTTAACTGTCAGGTGTAGTATGGCCATTATATTCTAGAGTCAAATTAGAGTAAGATATCTTTGCAAATAACTCTGCTTTATTCTGGAGAGAAGTAAAAAGATCAGACCTATGAATTAGAGATTAAATGTTAGACTTACTTTAGTTAATGACACTGTTGATGGTTAACCAAAAGTCTCTAGAACCTTACATTATGGGCAGTTTGCTGAACATTTGCCGTAAACGTTATAGAATATAACCAAACGGCCACCAAAAGTATGATGAGCTCAATTTAGGTACCCAACTGTTTTATCTACAAAATAGTAATAATTTAGGCAATTATTAAATTCTATATTTTCTTTGTTTTTTTTGTTTACGTTATGAATTTTTTTTGTTGATGATTTTCCACAATTTCGTGCAAGTTGACAAAATAAAATTTAATTTTGTTCACTTTTTTTTATAAGTTAAATTTAGTAGATTTATTTAAAATGCAGTACTTAATTCATACATAGTTTTTTAAAAATATTTTGCTAGTCATTAAATGTCTGACTTAGAGTTGGATTATTTGTTGGAACATAACGTGGGGCCAGTGGCTATTTATTTGGTCTAGTGATCAAGCCTGTTTTAGGCTCGATCACTGGGCTTAATAATAAATGTTTTTACAGGTCCTAAAAGTTAAAAAGTCCTCTTAACTTTTTTAAACCTGTAAAAACAAGTGATGATATTAAAATACTTTATAGAGTTATATAAGATACACCAAAAACTATTTTGGTGAGTCCCTAGCATTATTTGTCATATATTATTCTGAAATGGCACTAAAAATATATCTTTTGTTAATGCTTAAAAGAAAACTAATAAATACTTAGAAATTTTTATAAACCAATAAAATAAAAAATAATTAACCATTGAACTTAGTCAGATGGATCTCCGGATACACAGCCTAGAACTGTTATTTGCGTTTTTGCGTCAAGGGCTATGCAATAAATATTCTTTATACCATTTGAGGCAATTATTTTCAGCCTTACCAATGTCCCTGCTAATGGAAACCTTGCTTTGTCTAAATTAAACACTCTACTAGAGTTTTCTGGTAATAAGAACTCTGAAGCGTTTCTTTGGTGTTCTTCAAACAAATAACTCTCCAGGTCAGTAAACCATTGCCTGATTTAGCATGAGAAACGTTTCGCCGCTGGTTGCCCAAATTTTCAGGCATTCTTCTTGCAAGATCTAAATGCCTTTTGAAAAACCTAACAAATATAAAGTAAAAAAAACCTGGTTGATCAAATTAAACACAGATTAAGCAGATACAAAACAATCACAGGTCAATCAAAATTTAAAATTTTGTGTCATTTTTTTATTATAATTCAAAACACTTAATAAAGTAGCAATTATTTATCTGTAGATCCAAAACTTGCTTGGCAGATTATTCTCAAACTTTCTATTATTATTATTATTTTTTATCGATAACACGATGCTCCGTTTTGGCAAATACCGTATTCTATTTTTGCTGCTTTAATCAAAATTCTTTTTTTCTTTCTTTGTTCTCTTTTTCTAAAGCAGGTTTGTAACCTTTAAGTAAAAAAAATATGTTAACTTCTGAAAAAATCTTATGGAATTTTATTGCTTATGCAGAATTACATCTAGCATAGTAAGTAAATAAATATTTTAAACAACACTAACCTATCTTTTGCTTGGTGGCACCATATCTGCCATTTATTCTATCACCGATTGTCTGAGAAGGTACATTATATTTTAAACTTGCCTTTCTCCATGAAAAATGATTGTCTCAAACATCAGCAACAGCGGCCATAACAGCTTTCTCGTTATATTTTTGGTACTTCTGTCTTTTCTTAGAGTCTATAGTCAAGATAGCAAACTTGATTAAAAAATTATAACTTTTATATTCTACTATGATGATACTATATTTTTAAAAAGTTGAAATTTGAATTCAAATATTGCTTAGTTAAAAGAAATCCAGCCATGCAGATAATTTTGGAGATGTTGCTTTAATTTTTTTGAGGACAAAACATACAAAGCTTATAAGGAGCAAATTATTAAAAGTTTGCTAGCGAGAAAGTTACAAAAAACAAAACAAAAACAATAAACTTACAACTACAAAAGCAATAACACTTTACTAACTGCATTATAAAGGTAATAAAACTATAATAGTGTTATTACATTTATAAAGCACTTATTACTTTTAAAGTTCATTCTTTGTTCAAACAACATTATTAATTCCAACATTTATTTAAGTAGAAAAGCATCTAGAAAAAATAAAGCAGATATTCAAATATTATTTAAAATTTCAGGAACTTTCACAGATCATTTAAACAACGTTATAAAAAAGTACTATGCAACGTTATATAAAAGTATAGCATTATGAAAAACGTTACATAAAAACGCGCATTAATTTTAAAATCAACCAATAATAAATTTTTATTGGTTAATTTCAAAACTAATGTGCGTTTTTACAGTCCATTAATAACGTTTTTCATAATGCTAAACTTTTAATACAATACGTTTTTTTATAAAGTTGTTTATCACGTTTTTATAAGTTATTTAAGTTTTAATATTATTTGAACATTCACTTTATTCTTCTAGATATTTTTCTACTTCAAATAAAATTTGGGAATACTAATGTTGCTTGAACAAAGAATGAATTTTAAAAGTTATAAGTGCGTTATAAAAGTAGTAACACTATTATAGTATTATTACTTTTGTCACGCAGTTAGTGACTAGAGTGATGTTACTTTTGTAATCGTAAGTTTATTGTTTTATTTTTTATTTTTATGCTAACAAATTTAAGTTGATTCTCCCCTTTAAAGTAAAGAACACGGTTTTGTATAAACTAAAATTTTGAATACTAGATATTTTTCCAGATTTTGCGTTTCGCATTTGCTTCATTCAACCCTTGTTGTTACATTAAAATTATACAAATAAATTTTACAAACACATTGCAATTTTTATTTTTGCTATCCTCTTAAAAAAGATTCACCTTTAAAATACTTTAATAAAGCTCTTTCTAATAATATATAACAGTCTAGTATTTGATTAATTTAAATATTTCATTTCACATACCAATTTGTATTACTTTTGTATTATTTAACATGAAAAAATAAAGCACAAGGTAATTCAAACTTTTTTCCAAAATAGTTCAAACCTGTTTGAACTTTTAAAAAAAATGTTTTAACTGGAAGCCCAAATCCAAAAAATTTGGCTACTTGTATTCTTTTATATTTTCCAACCTAATTGAACTTTAGCTTGAATTCCATGCTGCTAATAAATATTTTCAAATAAATTTGGGAATGATAAAAGTTTAAGAGCGTGTTAAAAAGTTTGTAAAATTTCATTGCAAAATCTGATTACATATACATGTTTTCTGATTTTCAAATCTTGTTTATATTTTTGTTTTTTAATAGTGGAATAATTGCAAAAACACCTTTTTAGATTCCATTTTATGACAACAGTGTGTGTGGTATGATTAAATTAGGAAAGGAATGTGAAAAAGCTGTTGGCTATCAATCTGTATATAGAGTATGGTTTGCTTTTGTCATGTTTTTTCTGCTCATGGCTTTTCTTACATTAGGTATTAGATCTTCAAAGGATTGTAGAGCTTATTTGCACAATGGGTAAGTTGCTTGTTTAATTTAATATTAGGTTACAAGTTATCATTAAATAATATATATATAATAATTATTAATTATTTAGATTAATCATCAAGACATAATAATTATAAGTATTATTAATCATTAAGACATTTTATATGCAGCATCCAATATAATCAATCTACACCTTTATGAAATGTAGTTTAGATTGTGTGAAAATCGAAATTTAGTTTAGATTGTGTTGTTTTTAAAAAAATTTAAGAATTTTTTAAAGAAATTTAAGAACTCGTCAAGGTTATTTAATTAGTATTTATAATTTTAAAATTGAAATAAAACATGCAAGCCTTCCCAGGAAAGGCATGCAGTTTTTCTCTCGTACAACCACAAAAATGTTTTTCAAGTTTGAGAACGTGATCACGGCCGTTTGCGCAAGTTATATTATATGCGTTACTGAAAAATTGTTTTAAATTTAATAATTACATAAGAAATTAAAGTAAACTTAAATAGAAAACAATAATAATAGTTTGAATAATTTGTGTGTTGTTTTTATTTTTGTTTTTTAGTGGTCTTGATGGTTATTATTATTGGCAACGAAATTCATTAAGTCAAAGCGAAAAAAAAAAAAAAAATGGTTTTAGGTGTTAAAAAGGATGACTTTCCCTTATTTTGTGTGTTTTTTCTTTTAAAGAGGAAAGAGAAAATATGTATCATCATCTGTTTGTAAAATATATTTGTATAATTATAATGTAACAAGTTTATATCAAGAATTAAATTATATGATCGCGATTTACAAACTCTGGTAAAATATTAGGTCTTTAATATTTTAGTTCATACAAAGCTTATAAGGAGCAAATTATTAAAAGTTTGCTAGCGAGAAAGCTAGAAAAAACAATACAAAAACAATAAACTTACGACTACAAAACTAATAACACTTTAGTCACTAACTGCATTATAAAAGTAATAAAACTATAATAGTGTTATTAAATTTATAAAGCACTTATTACTTTTAAAGTTCATTCTTTGTTCAAACAACATTATTAGTTCCAAACATTTATTAAAGTAGAAAAGCTAGAAAAAATAAAGCGGATATTTAAATACTTTTAAAAATTTCAGGAATTTTCACATATCACTTAAACAACGTTATAAAAAAGTGCTTTATAAAAAGTATATCATTATGAAAAACGTAACGTAAAAACGCGCGTTAATTTTAAAATCAACCAATAAAATATTTTTATTGGTTAATTTTAAAATTAACTTGCGTTTTTCTACTTCAATTAAAATTTGGGAATACTAATGTTGCTTGAACAAAGATGAATTTTAAAAGTTATAAGTACGTTATAAAAGTAGTAACACTATTATAGTGTTATTACTTTTGTAATGCAGTTAGTGACTAGTGATATTACTTTTGTAATACTTTTAGTGACAAGTGTACTTTTGTACTTTGAGTGTACTTTTAGTGACGAGTGATATTACTTTTGTAATTGTAAGTTTATTGTTTTATTTTTTATTTTTTTGCTAACAAATTTAAGTTGATTCTCCCCTTAAAAACAAGGAACACGGTTTTGTATAAACTAAAATTGAATACTAGATATTTTTCCAGATTTTGCGTTTTGCATTCATTTAATTCAACCCTTGATGTTACATTAAAATTATACAAATAAGTTTTACAAACATATTGCAATTTGTATTTTTGCTATCCTATTAGAAAAAAATTAAGAAAAGGAAAATCATTCTTATTATTGTTGACTTCAAACTGTTTTTTTTTTTGCTTCGCCTTATCTAATTTTTTGAGGCCATAAGATACAAAAAACTGCACGCCTTTACTGGGAAGGCTTGACATGAATTATAAATAATTTGCAATGTGAGGTAGGGCTAATGTTATGCAATTATGGCATAGAGATATTTTTATTTACTTTTTACTTTTTTTTGATTCTTCGTGTTTAATTTTTGTAATTTTATTGTTTTAAAATTTTTTAAGATAATTTTTTTAAAATACTAGTAACTAAATCATTGCAAAACCATTAATTTAAAAACAATTTAATTATAATAAAACACTTTTGCAATTTATGAGGTATTTGCAGAATGACGTTTTTTATTTCTGCACCACATAGAAAAATTTCACAATGCAAATTTGATTTTGATTTTTTTCATTATTATTTTTTTCATAATCATAGTAATTTTTTAAAATTTAGTAAAATTAGTATATTAAAAAAATATGAAGTCGCTTCTACTGCTATTAGTTTTGTATATTGATCCCCCTAAAGTTAATATTTTAAATTCATTTTTCAAAAATCAGTTCATAAAATTTGTTCCTAAAAGACAAGTGAACTGTAGGGTAGTCCAGCAATAGTTTTGAAATTTCCCACAATTCTATAGGAGTTAAGGAAGGTTTTAAATATTTTCTTACTGGGAAAAAAAGCAGTTTGTGAAATTTTAAGAACATGAATAATTTTGACAAAAATTGAGACAAAATCTAATTGCAAGTCTAAATTATATTGACGCTATTAATACATTTTGCACACTTAAAATGTAAAAATGCTAACTTATCAGCTGAGAACCGGAAAGCTGTAACTGTTAATTCCACTTTATGTGTTTTTTATGTTTCTATCGATAAATATTATCAAGTATTGATAATTTTTTGTTGACCTTATGTTAAAGTTGCTGTAGTAAATGTATTTTTTTTTTTTATTATAAAAAAGGTCAGGTATTTTACAGAGGATTACTATTCAAAAGATTAATACAACTGGTGATCATCAACTGATAGTTATATTTATACATATTTGGGCAATACCACAGCGGAAAATGAAAAAGTAGTCAAATATTATTCTCTTTTTTGTCAAATTTTAGCACATAAATATTGATGTAGACACAGAAGTTTATTTTAAGTATATCTTTAGTACCAAAATTAAATTGATTATGTCATTTTTATTAAGGGTGTCCTGGATAAGCTATCCGGCCAGATATCCGGGCCGGATATCTGGCCGGATAGCTTATTGTTGGAAGGATGCTGTATTTTTAGAAAGAGTTAACTCTTTTAGAAGTGGAAACTTCTCTTTGTGTTTCCAATAAGCAAAAACGTCTTCTTTTTTTTATATAATCGAGTGGTTAAAGAAAAAATCAACTTCTTGAGCAGCTTTTACAAGGGAAATTTGATCAGGATTTATTTTACCATTTTGTTCTGTAATGTAAAAGAATTTAAATACTAAAGAAGATTTATTTATTTATATATTTTTATTCAAATGTATATAATACTTAAATCAGCAAACCAACAACATGCAGAATTTAGCTAATATTAAAAAAAAAACTTAATAAAAAAAGTTTTTCTGTTTATCAAAAAAGTTTTTAAAATTATTAAAAGCTTTTTTAATAAACAGAAGGAGATTTTCTTACCTAAATTTCCTTCATGTTCTGCAAGTTCTAAAAAGCAGGAGTTAAAGTCATTCTTTTCCAAATCAACTTTTTTTGATTTTTTGATTTTAGCGTTAAATGATTGGAGATGGTGGTGGTGAAGCTGGTAGCTCTATTAATAATAACCAATGAAAGTCCGGTTATATTTCTTTGATTTTTGACTGCTGACCAGATTTACTACACCCCCTGCTTATCTACTTTCCACATGGAATGCAAATAGTTATGGAATCACAGCTATCATTAATTTTTGCATAATCAGAATTAATTCAATGTGAAAATAGAGCCAACATGTTCAACTTGTTGTTGGTTGGATTTTATACTTTGAAAATATATATATTTCAAGATAATAACCAAAGAACCTTTGCAATTTTCATGTAACATAATTTAACAAAAATATGATAAAGTTTTTTTTTTCCATTAGATTTAGTTTAAAATATTAAATTGTTTAATAATATATGCAAAAGAATGTTAAGTTTAAAGTTTTGAATAATGATGCTTAGTTAAAGCACATTTAAATTTTGAATTTGTGTAATGTAAGTTAAAACTACTTGCATTTACCAAAGTTCTGGCACTTTTTCGTTATGTTTTTGTTGCTTACAAAACGAACACTTAAGTTTTTCATTACAAGTTACATTAAAGTTTATTTAAAATACATTACATTAAAGTTTAAATACATTACATTAAAGTTTATTTAAAATAAATAAATTTTGGTTTAAAATAAATTATTTGAATGAGCCTCACAATATGGTCAGATTGATTATGCAGAATTTGAGTATTTTTGTCAGAATGAGCTGCACATTATGGTCAAAATCAAGTTTCTCTTTTCACTGCAGCAATCTGGCAAAAAAATTTCAAAACCTTAACCATTGCATCTGACTCTCTGGATCACACAAAGATAAGTTATTTCAGTTTATTTCAAAAAAAATACGCAAGAAGTTCACATTTTTAGTGATAATGCTACATCTCAGTTTAAAAATAAAGTTGTGATGATTGCAATAATGCATCTTGAAAAAAAATTTAACAAAATAATGTTTTGGCATTTTTTTGCAGCAATGCATGACAAAGGAGTTGTTGATGGCATTGGGGCTACTGTTGAGTGCCTAGCAACCAACAAAGTAAAGTCAGGAAAAATTCAAATCCAATTAGCAAATGATTTTGTAAATTATCTTTAAGACATAAGTGTTAAAGTTCTATACTTGTCCGAGGAAGAAAAGTCAGCTTGTAATTGTACTCTGCAAATATCACAAATTATCCAGCAAGCAAAAAAAGTGAAAGATATTTCTAAATCCCACTACTTTTATGTCGGTAATGGTCAGATCAAAGCAGAAAAAATTTCACTGTAATGCATTTGAAATAAATAAAGGATAAAATCATTTTTATTTCAAAGTATATTCTTATTTGCTTAATAATTTATTTTAGTAAAACAAATTGTTTATAAATACTGTTAAGGGAGGTTCCTCTATAAAGTACATCACCTTATATTTTTCAAATTTTAACCTCTTTCCTTCTGTCACAAAAAATTACATATACTTGCACCCCCCCCCCTCTTCCTCCTAAACTATAAATGCGGTTTTTATGTTAAAATATTTTAATTGTAAATAATAAGTAGCATTTTAAAAATTCAACCTACCGGTGAATGGCCTAAAGGCAATATGCATAAACATAAAAATCGTAAGAAAATTTTTGACAAACTCAAAGCTCAAATTAAGCGTATCGCGATAGTGAATTGCGATTGCTTTTCACACCTTGGCGATTAGTTTTTTCTCATAATAATATTTTTGCATTTTTTTTTTTTTTTTTTGTATATTTACTTTTTTTCTAGAAAAGCAATTTTTTAGCAATTCTTAAAAGTAACGTTATTGCCATAAAGAACTTCACACTAAATTTATCTTCTAAATAGATGATCATTTGCTCCTTCGCGTGGAGATTTTCATTTAACGTAAAACACTTTTAAATTACTTAAAAATCTGTATGGAAACCAATAATATTTAAAAGGTTGTTAAAGCGAAAAGTTGAAAAAGGAAAAGGCGTTAAAGCAAATTTTTTCTTTATTTTCTTTTTTTTAACAAAACAGCCTGGTTTTTATCTTTATTTTTTAAAACATTGCACCAAATTAACTTATTGTTAATAATTTAAATTATTGTTTCGTCAACAGTTTTATATTATAAATTAGTAACTAATTTAAGTATGTTAAAATCTATATTAATTTGTTTTCATTAATTTTTTTTTTCTATTAGTTTAGAAACGCTAATAGAAACCAGCTGCTTTTTGCTTAAACTTTGTTAAGCATATTCTTAAACTTATAAAAATATAATTGGATTTATTAGAGCAAATTTTTTTGTTTCACTTTTTATTGGAAAACAATTTGAATAAAAAAAATTAAATGAAACATCAATTTAAAAACCGTTTGAATGAAAAACTTAAACATTTATTAGTTCTCTAGATCAGTTATAAAAAATTATAAAAATTATAAAAAGTGTGGTATCTATTTTTTTTTCTTTGATCTTACTCATTTGGTCTATAGATTATAGACTCGTATGGTCTATAGGCATGTTTTTGTGCAAATATAAAGTTTTATGACGACAATGTTTTAATTTATTAATTAGAACATTTTTGCTTATTTGCTTCGTTTTATTTTAAACGCATTTTATGTTATTAAGGTTATAAACCGTATAAATATGCAAAAAAACAGCGTCAGGAAGTTGTTTTACATTAACACAAATTATTTATTTTTTTAAAACAACTTTGCAGTTTGTTATATTATTTTTTAATAACTTTTTACAATAACAATTAAATACTTTAAAAAAAAACACTTGCTTTATCATCAGCATGAACGTATTAAATAGTTTTTTATGACTAATTAAAGTGGTTTAATTGTTTACTTTCTACTCTTAGTTTTTTACTTTTACTTTTTTAAGTATCATGTTAAGTAAAAACAATTACTAAAAGTAATATCTTAATAGCATTAAATACGTTACTTGCTCATTACACTGTAACTGCAACTTAAACTTTAAATTATAAATTAAGCTGTAAATTTTAACAGTAACTTACGCTATTTTAAACTCAGCCAAATGAGAAAAATTGTAAGATAATATTTAAATATGAAAGGTAATATGTTAAAAAAAACAACAAATACGTACAAAAGATACAGTTTTATACTAATGCAACCCCCCCTCCCTATTTCTGTAAAACAGCACAAGGTATGAGGGGGAAGGGGAGACAAAAATTTTATTTTTTTCACAATTACAATTTTTTGTATTAATTCGAGCCTAACTAAATAAAAACTAAATAATTTTTTTATTTAGAGTTAATAAGCATTAATAAAGTTGTTATACTAAAGTAAAGTTTCAAATTTAAATTTTAATTTTAAAAATGCTCTTGTTCTTGCAGAAAAACTTTTGATTTGATAATCATCATAAGTGTTATGAAAAACTGTTTTTGATTTGATAATCATCATAAGTGTTATGAAAAACTGTTTTTGATTTGATAATCATCATAAGTGTTATGAAAAACTGTTTTTGATTTGATAATCATCATAAGTGTTATGAAAAACTGTTTTTGATTTGATAATCATCATAAGTGTTATGAAAAACTGTTTTTGATTTGATAATCATCATAAGTGTTATGAAAAACTGTTTTTGATTTGGTAATCATCATAAGTGTTATGAAAAACTGTTTTTGATTTGATAATCATCATAAGTGTTATGAAAAGTTACTAAGGAAGAGTGGAACTAGTTTTTAAAAATTGCTTATGTTAAAAACTTTTAATGAGTTCTTTATATAAGTTTTAATGAAAGATTACTGGAATTCTTTTGTTAAGTAACGCTTAAAAAATCTAACTCCTAATAATAAATTCCACGATAATACTCGCTCAGTAACATAAGTTAAGTATATAGTATAAAAAAAAAACATGTTTATTTTCCTTAGCCGGTCACCTCTATTTAATTATTAATATATTTTTTAATTAGTATAGAGTTCACAAAATTTTGTCAAAGTTTTTATTACAAACTACTTAACTGATTTGCAGAAATCTGAGTTGAAGCAATTTTTTTACCTTGTTTTCTGTGTAATGTAAGTCAAGTGGCATTTTTAGCAATGAGTTTGCCCATATTTGGCCAAACTAAAAATTTTTTGGCTTATTTCATTCTTTAGACCAACATCTTTCATAAAAAATAGCTAAAAATTTAATTTGCAGTTTAATAAGGCAAATATTTGATAAAGTTGTTGCGCATGTAACGTAAGTTAATAATGGATTTGCCTGTATATATATATATATATATATATATATATATATATATATATATATATATATATATATATATATATATATATATATATATATATATATATATATATATATATATATATATATATATATATATATATATATATGTATATATATATATGTATATATAAAATCAAGTTATTTTTATAGGTTTTGGTTCTTCAAAATTCTTATAATTATTGGAGTAATGATTGCAGCATTCTTTCTTCCAGCGACTCCATTCACAAAAAGTAATTTATAAACTTTTTTATAATTAACTTATATCCTTTTGAAATTTTGTAAATTGCTCAAAATTCTAATTTAATATTTGAATTTTCATATATCAAATGGCAAGTTTCTCAAAACCATCTGAACTATCTTGTAATGTGATGTATTTGATTTATGTATATGAAATATGTGCTGTATTTAATTCGCTTTATATGAAACATGTAAAGTAATTGTTTAAATAAATTTTTTAGTTTGGCTTTACATTGGTACAGTAGGTGGTGTAGTTTTCATTATGGTACAAGTTTTGTTTTTGATTGAATTTGCTCATCGTTTAACAGAAGCCTTGTAAGTTTTTTTTTTAAATGAAAACATAAGTAAAAGAAAAAAGAATGTTGCATGTCATAAGAATTTCTACAAATGCAACACTCATCTCAACACTTATCAAAAACTTTTTTAAATTTCACTGAAAACATAGAGTTAGGAAATAAATTTTGATTTAGAGCTGCATTTTTTTTTTAAACACATTCAACACAGTTAGGGAATTCATCAGTAAGTTTAATAAAAATATATAACATAAATATTGGTTTAGAGATATATTTTTTTAAATTGATCCATAGACATACAGCTTTTGTTTTAGTTTTTTAGTTTTTATTTTTGGTTTTAAAGTTAAAATTTGTTTCCCATTCTTTACGCATTTTAATTATTAAAAAATTAAAATCCTCAAATTGAACATAGTATTTGCGTCTTTTTCCTACATCTGGCTAAACTGATTACTTTTGTCAAGTTATAATGACAATAAAATTGACATCTTTGTCATATTTAGACAGGTCAACCATGTTTTTAGAAAAATTGCCTTACGTTTAAATGCTTTAATTCATTTAATTCTTTTAAATTTAAATAAATTTAAAATCTCATATAAATACCTGTTTTAAAATTTTCAAATTTTCTCATTCAAAATTAATTTACATTCAAAATTAACTATTTTTCAGTGTTTTTAAAAGTGTCACTCAAAAATGTATTTTCTTGTTGTGGTGACAGCAATTTTTTATAGATGGTATAAGTAAACCAATAGTAAAAAAAATATCTACATCAGAACAATTTTTTTTTTTTTTTTTTTTTTACTTAAGGAATGAATAAATTAGTCATGGGTTTGTTAAATAAAAAATATATAAATTAGTCATGGGTTTGTTAAATAAAAAAATAATGTCAACAGACTGGAAAAATATTTTGACATTTAATTAGTTTCCTCAATTAATTTAATGGTTTTTACATAAAGTTTACTTGATTTTACTATATATATATATATATATATATATATATATATATATATATATATATATATATATATATATATATATATATATATATATATATATATATATATATATATATATATATATATATATATATATATATATATATATATATATATATGCAATAGGGTGGCCCTTAAAACAAATTTTTTTAAAATTTTTTGCTCTCACCCCCTCAATGTGTTCTATCTAATACAAAAACACTAAGTTTATTTTTTTTTTCGAATAAAAAGTATTTTAAGGGGTTCCCCAAGACCCTCGGATATTTAATGGGTCTCTAATATTTTCAAAAAAGAGTTTTTCTAAAATATTTCAACCTGGTACTCAAATGAAGCGAAATTATATAAAAATTTCAAAAATAATATTTCAAAAAAAAATTTGTTATTTTTGGTTTTATTACATAAAAAATGGCGTTTTTTAACAAAAAATGAAAAAAATGCATTTTTTATGTTTTTTTTTAATGATAATTTTGATAAGTTAAAGTTTTTTTGAAATGAATTTTGTTTTTGAAATTTTTATATAATTTCGCTTCATTTGAGTAGCAGGTTGACAAGTTTTTGAAAAACTTTTTTTTTTTTAATTTTAGGGATCCATTAAATATTCAAGGGTCTAAAATATTTTTTATTCAAAAAAAATTTAAACCTAGTGTTTTTGTATTAGATAGAACACATTTAGGGGGTAAGAGCAGACAATTTAAAAAAAAGTTATTGTAAGGGCTACCCTACAACCCTCAGAATTAGAGTCAGCATTCGGCAAAGCCAACCTAACTGCTGACCTGAATGCTTTTGAGGTTGGCAAAAAAATTGCCAACCTAGTTTCTATGTTTTATGACCTCTTTGTGTCAAATTTTTTTTTGTCGACGTGATGCTGACGTCTAATAATTTATGGTCGGCAATTTATTGTCAACCTCATATTCACTAATTCAGAGGGCTGTATATTTACATTTTTATTTCTCTGTTACAGGTTGAATAAAGCAGATGACAATAAATGTTGTGGCTTCGGTTAGACTTTGTTAAACTTTTTTTTTGTTAATTGTTGTTAGAACCCTCTTTTAACCTTATTACTCTGAAAAATGAACCTTTTATCAACAAGGTAGCTGTCTGATCAAAGTAATCAATAGTCATTTTTCTTTTTTTTTCAATTATTTTAGATTTTGTTGCATAAAGAATAAAAAATTTCAATAAGAAATGAAAAATACCTTTTTGTACAAGACTTTTTAATAATATTATTAATTTTTTTAAAAATGATTATTATTTTTTAAAATTTTATAATTTCGATTTATTTGAGAACCAACACGACCCATTTAATGATCGAGGGTTCGGTATCAACTCTTAAGAATATATTATTCAAAAAGTTTTTAAATCTAGTATTATTTTATTATATAGAGCACATTAAGGGGGTGCCAACAGATATTTTTTTAAATGTTATTTTTCGAAACACTACCTTTCACTCTTTACAAAAGTATTGGAATGTAGGCAAGATCAGGGCTAGTTGGCAGCAGGTGTAAGTTGATGAATTACATTTATTTTCAGAGCATTTTAATAGAAAGTGATAGAAATTACATGGAACCTTTATCTTTCACTATTTCATCTTTCACTCTAATATTGTAAAGGTGCACGCACGTGCGGTGGAGATATTAAAGTCTATGTTTTTTTTGGACAAAATTTAACTTTTTGCAACATTGCTGCCTTTTTACTTTAGGAAAATAACAGGATAAAAAAAAAATAATTGTGAAGATTCCTGTCACAATTGATTTACTATTTCCAAGCCGGGTTTTTTTTTTTTTTCAGTTGCTGTTTTTCCAGATCTATAGGCTTTTTATTAAAAAAAAGCCTATATCTGGAAAAACAAAAACTAAAAAAAAATTTTTTTTTTGGGTAACTTGGTAAAATTTTCATGGGCCAAGTTGGATCATAGTATATAATTTTGGAAAAAAATAAAGTAAATTGAATTTTTTTTTGTTAAATTTGTAAAAATATTGAGAAAACTTATTTTTTATGACTTTTTTTATTCCAAATAAGCATGGAATGGAATCAGAAGAAAATGACAAGCACAATGAAGAAGGCAGTCTTAGTAGATGATAACTTTGCAATGTATTGTGTATGGTTTCTATGAGATAGTTGGTTTCTATAAGAGGTCATTTATATCTTTTCTGATTATCGTAAATGATAATCTAAAAAGATATAGTATATATAATATGTCATCAATATAGGAATATCAACAATATTGCAATAATATATATAATAAGTAAATAACTAAGTTTTGTTTGGGTTCAAATTCTCCAACTAAACTGCTATCCCCAAACTGTCACATAAGGAAGATCAGATTCAAGAAAAGAAAAATCAAGTGTACACCTCTGATAAATCATTTTTGTGTTTTGATATTTTTGTATTTTAATATTTTATCTACTATAATTAACATAGGTGAGATTTTTCCAAAATATTTTAGATAGATCATAGCATTTTATTTAAAACATTGATTTCTTAAATAGTTTAAATTTAAATGAGTTTGAAGTTTTTACTGAGTTAGCAAACTAATTTTGGTTACTTGAACATAGAGTTAAATTGCTTTGAACACTTTCATAAATTTTTTAATACGTAGTTAATTCTTAAATATTTAAATCAAAGTTTTTTTTATTAGTTTTATTACTTTTTTTAAAATTCTTTTCAATTTAGTCATGGCTATTTTGTGTTTGATAATGTATGGACTTGCGATTGCTGGAGTTGTGGGGATGTACATAAACTTCACTGTGGTATGAGCCACATATGTGGTATTATTAATTTGTTGTAATATTTATTTTTTTGATCATTTTTGTTTATGTTGTTTTTATTATCATCTTTGTCATAAAATAAATAAAATGGTTTCCATTTTTTTCAAACAAAGTAGTATTTTATGATAACACTACTGTCAGACAATCAATACGGTTTTCGATCCTCTCGCTCTACGGCCGACTTGCTAACTGCTGTAACTGAAAGATTTTATCATGCATTAGATGGAGGCGGTGAGGCTAGGGTTATTGCTCTCGACATATCTAAAGCTTTCAACAAAGTTTGGCAAGCTGGTCTACTCCATAAGCTTGCTTCATATGGTGTTTCTGGGCAAGTTTTTGAGATTATCAAATCATTTCTTTCTAACCGGTTTATTAAAGTCATCCTTGAAGGCCAATACTCTTCTTTATTTCTAGTAACTTCTGGTGTTCCCCAAGGTTCCATCCTGGGCCCTGTTTTGTTTCTTATCTATATAAACAATCTTCCTGACAACCTTTCATCTAAAGTAGCTCTATTTGCTGATGACTCAACTTTATACTCCTGTCTTGACAAAAAGTCTTCTCTTTTCAATCGCCTAGAACAAGCAGCTGATCTTGAATCCGATCTCACTTCAGAAATAGATTGGAGTTCACAGTGGCTTGTGAATTTCAATTCTAAAAAAACCCAGCTGTTTACTGCAAACAACTACCGTAATATGGTCAACATTCCTATATTAATGAATGGCAATCCTCTTACTGAGTTCTCCTCTTTACGTCTTCTTGGATTATCGCTTACTACTGACCTTTCATGGAAACCATATATACAATCGGTTGCTAAATTAGCTTCTGCTAAGGTTACTTCTCTTTATCGTGCTTGCCATTTCCTTACTTCTGATTCCATTCTCTACCTCTACAAATCTCTTATTCGTCCCTGAATGGAATACTGTTGTCATATTTGGGCTGGTTTTTCTAATGATTCACTTTCTCTTCTTGACAAGGTCCAAAAACGCATTGTAAATGTTGTTGGACCTGGACTAACTGCTAAGCTTGAGCCTCTTTTTCATCGTCGTAAAGTGGCATCTCTTTTTCTTTTCTACAAATACTATCATGGTCACTGCTCAAAGGAGTTATCATCACTATTTCCATCAACTAAAATTCATTCTTGTTTTACTCGTCATTCAGCTAAGTCTCATTCGTTTACTGTATCTGTCCCTGCATGCTCTAAAAACTTCTATTCATCTAGTTTTTTTCCCGGCACTTCAATCCTTTGGAACTCTCTCCCCTCTTCATGTTTTCCTGACTCATGCAACCTTCAACTTTTCAAGTCTTCTGTCAACCGTTTCCTTGCTCTATAACTCTGTTCTTTGTTTTTCCTAGTAACTCCCAACTTAATAGTGGTTGCTTACAGCCTTGTTGGGAGTGAATGCAAATTAAAAAAAAACAAAAAAAAAACAATCTGGATTCTTAATCTGCATAACAATTTCTAAAAATACAAGCGATAATTCTTTTTTTAAACAAAAGAGTTTAAAGTCAGTTTGCTTAAAACTTGTATGGTTGCTGTATATCATAGCTTAGTTATGACCAATAGATGGTAATAAAAAAAGTTATTATTAAAAAATATCTAAAATTAAGGCAAAATTATAAAATATAGGATAAATATATTATAATTTTTAATCATGTATGATATAACATATTATGATAGACAAACAGCATTCCAATAATAACTGACAAATACAGAATATTATTATATCTCTCAAATTATTTTGAATTTTTTAGTTTTATCTTTTGTTTTTTTGTTGAAGTTTATTTTAACTCTTGAGTTTAAACTGTTTTTGCAATTACTTTCTAGAACTTGTAGAATGTTTTGGAAGAGTTTGTCACTGCATTTTGTGTCTACAAAATGAGTTCTTAATTTAATGATGTGTTCTGAAGCATTATTAATGAAATTAATTGTGTGTTCTTTATCCACATCTAACATATATGCATTGATGGTCTCTCATTCTCACACTCACAGGTGAAGAAAGTTGCTATTGATCTAGAGTGGGAAAGTTGACCATTAGTCAATGTCAACAAGATTGTACAGCTCTGTGGACAGATTTATTGATGATGGAACTGAAAACTATGGCTTTACCTTTCTTGAACCAAAACAATTTTCTGTTGACTGCAGTAGATTGGAAGGATGCACTTTTAACAAGCCTTTACATCACCATGAGCTTGATGTTCATCTAAAAGTACAAGGTTGCTAAACAAATAGGACTATTTTTGCCTGTCAGGTACTAGAAAAACTGGGTAAAGGCCCAAGTTGATAATTGTGATATATTCTTATTGACCCATTATACTGCATTAGCTGCTTGAACAATTATAGATTGTTCCATGGAGTAACAAACTATTACATTTAATGTTGGAATACTATAGTGTACAGCATTTTGGAGGTTTCAACTCGTCTTTAATGTTTTGTGCTATTTCTGGTTTATTGAGTACAAGCAGAAAAAAACCAATAATTTTAATTAGTTACTTCCAAAGTGATAGTCTAGATAATGCACAGGTTGGGGCAGAGGTTGGGTTAGCAATTTTCCATATTTACTGTTATCAGAATTATAGTTTTTTCCTAAATGATCAAACGATGCCTAAATGTTAGTAATGTGTTGGTTGATATTTGTATATAAAAAATGTTAATAACGCAAGCCTTCTCAGGAAAGGTGTGCGCTTTTCGTCTTGTATGACTACGAAAGCATTTTTCAAGTTAGAGAACGTGATCACGGCCATTTGCGCAAGTTTTATTATACGAATGCTGAAAAATTGTTTTAAATTTAATAACTACATAAGAAATAAAAGTAAACTTAAATAGAAAACAATAATAATAGTTTAAATAATTTGTGTGTTGTTTTTATTTTTTTTTTTCTTAGTGGTTTTTATTATCGGCAACAAAATTCAGTAAGTCAAAGCAAAAAAAAAAAAATGGTTTTAGGCGTTAAAAAGGATGGCTTTCCCATATTTTATGTATTTTTTCTTTTAAAGAGGAAAGAGAAAATATGTATCGTCATCTGTTGAAAAATATATTTGTATAATTATAATGTAACAAGTTTATATCAAGAGTTAAATTACACGATCGCAATTTGCAAACTCTGGTAAAATATTAGGTCTTTAAAATTTTAGTTCATACAAAGCTTATAAGGAGCAAATTATTAAAAGTTTGCTAGCGAGAAAGTTACAAAAAACAAAACAAAAACAATAAACTTACAACTACAAAAGCAATAACACTTTACTAACTGCATTATAAAAGTAATAAAACTATAATAGTGTTATTAAATTTATAAAGCACTTATTACTTTTAAAGTTCATTCTTTGTTCAAACAACATTATTAATTCCAACATTTATTTAAGTAGAAAAGCATCTAGAAAAAATAAAGCAGATATTCAAATGTTATTTAAAATTTCAGGAACTTTCACAGATCATTTAAACAACGTTATAAAAAAGTACTTTATAAAAACTATAGCATTATGAAAAACTTTACATAAAAACGCGCATTAATTTTAAAATCAACCAATAAAAAATTTTTATTGGTTTATTTCAAAACTAACGCGCGTTTTTACGGTCCATTAGTAACGTTTTTCATAATGCTAAACTTTTAATACGATACGTTTTGATAAAGTTGTTTGTCACGTTTTTATAAGTTATTTAAGTTTTAATATTATTTAAACATTCACTTTATTCTTCTAGAAATTTTTCTACTTCAATTAAAATTTGGGAATACTAATGTTGCTTGAACAAAGATGAATTTTAAAAGTTATAAGTACGTTATAAAAGTAGTAACACTATTATAGTGTTATTACTTTTGTAATGCAGTTAGTGACTAGAGTGATGTTACTTTTGTAATCGTAAGTTTATTGTTTTATTTTTTATTTTTTTGCTAGTTGATTCTCCCCTTAAAAACAAAAAACACGGTTTTTTGTTTTTAAGGGGAAAATCAACTAAAATTTTGAATACTAGATATTTTTCCAGATTTTGCGTTTCGCATTCACTTAATTCAACCCTTGTTGTAACATTAAAATTATACAAATAAATGTTACAAACACATTGCAATTTTTATTTTTGCTATCCTCTTAAAAAAAAAAGTTAAGAAATGGAAAGTCATTCTTTTTATTTATAGACTTCAAACTGTTTTTTTTTTTGCTTCGCCTTATCTAATTTTGTTGCTGAATGTAACAATCACTCTATAAAAACAAAAACAAAAACAGTACACAAATAATTTAAACTATTAATATGTTTTTATTTTTTTCTATTTTAATCTCTTTTTATTTTATAAGTTTTTTTTTTGTTTTTGAAACTTTTCAACATTGATTATTATAAAACTTGCAAACGGCCGTGTTCAAGTTGTCTAAAATAAGATACTCGCATGTGGTCATGCAAGACGAAAAACCGCATGCCTTTCCCGGGAAGGCTTGTAACGTGTTAGTTGTTCTGCTATATCATAATTTTCAACATTTTTTATGTAATAAGAGTATTAGAGTTCTGCAGACAAAAAACACAAAAATTTTTTAATACATTTTTGTATAATAGGAATTTTAAAACATATTGTGAGGACTCTAAATAGTACTCAAAGTATAAGATATTTAAAAATAAGCAATATAACTAATATAACAAATGTATGTAAATATTCTTGCATATTTAGATCAGCGTTCAATGAAAGTCCTTTAATATCTCGATGATACCTGCCCACTCCCAAACCCAAAATCAATGTATATAATGAAGTCCCTGCAGTTCTCTATTTCAGTATGGCATCATTGAAAACGTTTTATGCTAAACTTAGTACTCAAATATAATTGTCTTATATATAAATATATAAATAAATCAGCCTTAGGAATTAGAAAGAAAGTGTTGACCTAATGGTGAATAAAAGTAGTTTGAATTTCATAAATTCAGCTATTATGGACCTAATTACAAGAGCTAATAATTAATTTAAAAGCGTAATTAGTTAATATCAATAATAATTAATCAATTTAATAATTAATTTAAAAGAATAATTAGTTAACATAAATGATAATAATTAATTTAATAGTTAATTTAAAAGCTAATAATTAATTTAAAAGTGTAATTAATTAATATAAGTAATAATAATTAATTAATTTAATAATTGATTTAAAAGGTAATAATTACATAAAGCTAATAATTTTTCCTAAATCACTACGTTAGTGTAGTGCTTCAGTTGATTTATTACTATATTTATGAGGTATGACTGCTAGTTTGGCGTTGGATAAGGGATCAAATCGTTTTTACAGATAATTTTTTTTTTATGTTTTAGTTTCTTAGTAGGCATAGAAAATATCAAAGTTTTAAATAATTAAGTTTCGAATTGCAATAAATAACTTTGAAACTTTGATCTTTTCTAAATTCAATGAAGTAAAACATTTTTAAATGAAAATAAAGACATTACTTTTATGCTTTTATTTTTTCTGGTTTATCTATTATTTATTTTATTTATCTATTATTTATTTTATTTATTTGTCTTGTATTAAAACAATGGACAAGTTTTTCTTCTGTAGTGGAATATTTTGATTATTTTGATAAAAAAGCTACTTATAAAAATTCAAACGTTTTTTTTTTATTTTACTGAGTTTTTTATATTTAAATAATAAGCATATTTTATGTATTTGTAATTTAAACTTTAGTAATAGCGGTGTACCACTACCAAAAACAACTTTTTTTTAATAGTGGTTTTTAAGTTGTTTTAATTAGTTCATTAGTTCATGCTGCCTAAAAAATCTATAGAGTTATTAAAATATAGCCAAACAAAAAAGTTTTAACACAAGCAATGTAGTGTAACATAAAGTCACTTTTCATGAACATGAAATGCTCTACGCTCTATGCTTTATCCCAAGGTCTGATATATATATATATATATATATATATATGTGTGTGTGTGTGTGTGTGTGTGTGTGTGTGTGTGTGTGTGTGTGTGTGTGTGTGTGTGTGTGTGTATGAAGCTAGTGGATCATTGGACAGTAAACTTGTAGTAAAAATGAGTTATAAATGATCAATTTAAACAACTTTTTTTCTTAAATGGTTATCAAAATAATTTGTTATATTTTTAGAGCAATGCTTGTAATCTAAATAAAGGATTAATCTCCATCAGTTTGTTTCTTTGTATTATTGTATCTATTGTCAGTGTACTTCCTCCTATTCAAGCAGGTTAGATTTCACTCACATCAGTATTTTTTCTTATAGCCATATATAGTTATAATTTTATTTTTGTAGTCTAGTTTGTTGTTTAAACCTACTATTTAAATACTAAAAAGTTTATGGGTGCCTGTGGTGCCCATTTTTAGAAATCTTTTACACTTGTAGATGATAATTATTTTAAGAAGTGAATTGAAGCCGGTGAAGGCAAATAAATCTTATATATATTATGCATACCTAATGAGTGTTTATAAGTGAAAAAGAATTAAAATTAAAAATTTAAATGACTTGAAACAAATATTAAAAATAAAAAATTATAAGTTAAATTTCATTAAAGAATTTCTTTATAAACTATATTACTCTTGAGTCCCTAATCAAACAGGGGAGGGGGTGCGTTTATTAATTTTTGGAAAATTTTTCCACCCACCCCAAACTTATTAAGACCCCAACCCCCACCTCTCCATTTATGAATTTTTAATTGTTTTTATCAAAAACCTTATATCTTAAAACTAAAAAAAAATAAAAACTGTGAAAATCAGCCTTTAAAATTAGAAAATAATAATTTCAGTCATCGATAAAAACGAAAACTTTCAGTGTAAACAAGCTTTAAAAATGCTGACCTGGTAAATCTCGATTCAGCGTATTAAATCCTATTGAAGTTATGCCAAAAGAGCTGTTCGAAAATGCACATTTGACCACTAGACATGCTAGAATTAAATAATTTTAATCATATTTTGTAATAAATATTAGTTTGGATTTATAAACTTAACTTTTTAATAAAAAATACTTATATTGTATCATAAAAAAATTCCCACTCCCCTTTTTATTAAAACCCCCCGTTTATTAGATATAAATATTTATTTGTATAATTTTAATGTAACAACAAGGGTTGAATTAAGCGAATGCGAAACTCCCACCCCCATCTTCCTTTTATTCCCCTTACTTGTATTGACTCAAGACTCAAGAGTAAAAATTTAAGATAACATTTTTCTTTAAAAATAAGACATGTTACACACATTTATGTTATTTATTAACTGAATTACTTAACTATGTATTACCGCCGTGTCTTTTATTATATTAGTATTTTATATTATTAATATATTAGCATCAATTAGTTAATTAATAAAAAAAAATATTCTAAAAAATAATGAAAATAATAGACTCCAAAAGAAATTGAACCCAAAGCGCAGACACCACAATCAAATTTATTAACCACTACATGGCACAATATTGTAACTCAATAAGTTAATAAAGTTTAAATAAAATGAATTGGTTTTGACATATGATATTTTTTAAGTAATTAACACACTTTAAAATAAAATAACTTCAGCATGATTAATACGTAAGCGTTATGTCATTGTTACACTATCAGGGAATCAGTGACCTAAGTAAATATATATTAGATTAGCAAGGCTAAAGATAACTTAATGACATTGACTTCAATCAACCTAAAAGCAAAATAATAAAGATATTTTAAAAATAATCTTTATTTTATAAATTAGTTTATTACAAAGAACACAACTGGTTAAGAGTAGACATTTTCAAAAAAGGTGTTGATAATTGCACCAATATATGTGTTTGTGTATATATACACTACTGTTAATAGTTATTTGAATGGCATTAACTTTTTTTTTAAATGCTAATTTTTATTTAACTGTTTTTTATATTTTATTTTTGCACTTTTTTTTTTTTTTTAATTCACCTCCCCAAGGCCGAGAAGGCCACTATAGATGAGGAGGCTACTTGTGGGTATAACCCTCTCTCAACTCTATAACTCTGAAACACGAACCTTGACCAACAAGGCCGCTGCGCAGAGAAACAAGTTGAGCGCGGTACTACCAGGGACGTTATGGGAATCAAACTCGGAACCTCTTGCTTGCTACTTTTAGATAGTTTTAAAGTATTTTGGTTAAAATGCTTTAATAAAGATCATAAAGATAATAAAAATGCTAAAGTGGGTAAAACCACATAAAAAATGGACCATCAATGACTATAAATGCAGATCAGCGTGTCAAAGTTTTAAATCTTTAGATTCAAGATTATTTGTCTGGAAGATTATTTGTCTGTTCAAGGTTATTTGTCTGGAAAAAAATTGTTGAATTTATGATAATATAGTGTGTACTATTGACTGTAAAACATTGTGGATGTTGTGTTGAGGTGTGGGGCTGTTTAGGTTATAATGCCACAGGTGAAAATAGAGGAAATAAAGACAAAAGTAGCCTACTTGTCCACTTAAAAAATTATGCTACACCTTCAGAAAGATGGGTTAATGAGAAGCTATTCATTTTTTCAGAAGAAAATGATTTGAAGCTTAAATCTAAAACATTTTTCAAAAAATTGTTTAAATTCAAGAACGATCAAATATTAAATAAAATTATTAAGCCTCCCCAATCACATGATCTCTCTCCTATTGGATATTTATGGGAAGAATTAAAAGTAATGTGAAAAACTAATGCCTAATGATGCATAAGATGTGGGAAAAAATAGTGACTTAAAATTGACTTAGACAAATTAGATAAATCGTTGAGTAGAATGTCAACAATATGTATAGCAGTTATTGTCGCTAAGGTGATTAAAAGGCAAGTAAATTATAAACTCATCTAATCTGACTTTATGTTAGTTTTTTTAAGATAACATATAATTCAGGTATTTTTTTTCATTAATTTTGTTTTCAGTTTTTTCTCAATAGTAAGTAAAATTATGATATTTTATATCAATAACTATAACCATTCGAGTAATTATGGATGGTAGTGTGTGTGTGTGTGTGTGTGTGTATAGAGTTGCAACCCCAAAAAAACGGTGTTTTTTTTAAAAAAAACACGTTTTTTTTGCAAAAAAAACAGACTGGTTCTAAAAACATGTTTTTTATAGTTTTTTTTGCTTTTTTTTAGTATTCATTAAATTTTAGATAATAATAATACTTAAAACAGTTCCAGTGCCCTTAAACCTACAAAATACAAATGTTTTCTATTTAATAAAATGCATATTAACTTATATAATAGCTGTTACAAACTAATCACCAATATTAAAAAAAAACAGTATTAAATATTTAAAAAAGTAATTTTTTAAATAAATCTCAAAAAAACTATACTATTAGCTACTAGTTGATTGTAAGTATAATACTACTGAATGAAGGAAATAAAAATGTTATTTTAGCAGTGTTATTTCATTCATAAAAATGAATGAAATAACACTGCATTGCAAAATACAAAAATGAACCAACTGTTAAATAAAATTTACTTTAATGTTTTATTTACTTTTGTATATTACTTTTTTAAATTTTTAATATTTAATTTCTTTATTTTATTTTAAATTGCAATTAGATAGCTAAAATTTTATTTATTCAAACAATATTCAAGTAAATAAAAATAACACAATGATTAAATTTGTCTAATGAAAAAACATTTATATTAAACAATTTGTAATCTATTAATTATTTTTAATTAAAAAAAAAAAAAGAAATCTAAAAAAAAATATGCCAGGCAGAAAGAAATGTTTTGTAGCTACATTGTTCAATGAGGCACCTTTAGAATCTGGAGGTTCTAAAATTCAACAAGTTATATGCAAATTTTGCAGCTTAAAGCTATCAAAAAACGGCACTCGAATGACTGAGCACATTGCAAAATGTATGAAATGTGGCGATCAAATAAAAAACAAATATTTGAACAATATGCTTTTTAAACAGAAGAAAGTTCAAACTGAACTAATGATGGAAGAAGATATTCCTGAAAACTTACCTATTCAAGATATGAAAAAAGAGAAAAAAATATGTTTACCATCTGCTATTCCACAAGTTCCAATTGAGTCTTTCTTTCCAACACCAAGCTGTTTTGGAAACCAAAGTAGGTCTACAACCCCTAAGTTTGGAGACTGTAAGGCAAATAAAACCAAATCAGATAAGCCTCCCTTAAAACGATTGTATTCTTCAACAAGAGTTCCATTCACAACTCAGAAAAATAAAATTGTATCCTACATTTTAGGAGAGTACAAGAGTTCAGAGTCAGAGTTATCAAGCGACTCTGAAGAATACGGATTTGACTTTACAATAGAAGACCTTAATGAACAAGAAAGCCAGAATACAGAATCTGTTATTAATTAAAAATAAATCTTTTAAATGATGTACTATATATTTACCATATATCATGTTATTAATATATATTATATTACATTTATAATAAAAATAAAAATTAAATAAAAGTAAAAAATTTTTTTTTTTATCTAAAAAACAAAAAAAACCATAAAAAACACAAAAAACACAAAAAAAACACAATTAAAAAAAAAACGGTTCTTTTTGCAACTCTACACACACACACACACACACACACACACACACACACACACACACACACACACACACACACACACACACACACACACACACACACACACACACACACACATAAATAGTCCACAGTTTTGACTTAGTGAATTAGCAGGACTGAGACAACTGCATAGCTTAATGCATGGGGTTCCGTGCTCTATCTATGGAGTCAAGTTTTCTTTAACTTAAATCATCATTAAAGTACTCAAAAATTTTAATCATAGAAAACCATCATCATCCCCTAACCATTTTATCTCTCACAAATGTTCATCATCTTCTAAGTAACTTTTGATCAGTTGAATCTTACCTCTTTCAAAATTCACCATATTTACTTCCTACTTGTGAGACTTTGAATTCAGATGTTTCTTCTCCGGATCTCAGTATTGATGGCTATTATTCTTTGATTCACAATACTCCAATAGATAAATGCTTGCCTTAGGCATATACTTACATATAAGTTCACTTATTTGTCAAGAAATCAGGTTTGAGTCTTCTGACCATTCTTTTACATGTTTCTGCTTAGCATCTTTTTACTCAATCACCCTTCTTTTTGTTATTTATCGTTCTCCTTCTTATTAAAAATGCACTATTTATAATTTCTGACTAAATTAAATAAGCCCTTTTTCTTTATCTTTTAGCCAATGTTGTTGTTATTGGTGACTTTAATACTCGTCACACTGAATGGCTTGGCTCTAACACGACTGATCCTGCTGGCACTAAAACTTATTATTTTTGTCTCCTACTCAGATACTAATTTTTTGTTTTCCAGACAACCCTAATCATTTAACTTCTGAATTTCTCAATCTTTGTTAGTTAACCATGTGACTGATAATCTAATCACTTATCTTCACTCATTGACTTGTGTTTTGTTCCTGACCCTAAACATACTTAGGCAAAGCGATAGGAGTTTAGACAACTTTTATAGCTAGTGTTACTGTAGCTTGTGTTCAATTTTTCCTTACTCTCCTTTTGGTGATTTCAACCATGCAGTAATCTTTATTAATTTTTTACTCATATTAATCTATGAAAATCTAGTCTTACTCATACTTCTTTAGATTTAACCTATTATTGCAATACCTACTGCTACCATAAAGTTGACTGGGATTCTTTTAACAATTTTTTTTTGTGACAGCTATTGGTATTATGACTTTTGTTTCTTTGTTGTTACATGTGCTTCCTATGTATTCTACTGGATCCAGGCACGCAAGGAAGCCTTTATTTCTTCTCATCAGTTTTAAGTCAAGCCTCATTCTACATGGTTTTCACCTGCTTATGCAGCTGCTATATCTAATCATGATCACTTTAAGTCATCTTTTTTACCAGAACAACTCTCTTGAAAACGAATGTCTTTTTATTATTGAAAGAAATCAATGTAAAAAGGTGCTGTCTGACACTAAACTCTGTTATTCCCAGTTTACTAAATCTCGTATCTTATCTCAGAAGTTAGGCTCTAGAGACTTTTGGTAAATCTTCAACAGTCTCATTAGCAAAAGTAACTCTTTAAATCTAATGGCCAAACTCTTCCTGCCATTCCAGTTAAACAGGTTAACCAATTGTTAGACATCTAAATCATTCCAGTTTCTATTGCTAAAGTCATTTCCCGATTAAGTTCTTCTATAGCTTGTGGTCTAGATAACATTTCCGCCATAGTTTTACAAATTTGTTCTCTAGAACTCTCTTCAGTTGTCTCTAAACTATTTAATAAGTGTCTGACTGAATCTTTTTTTTCTTTCTGCTTGTATATGGCGAACAAGAACTTTCTGCTTATATATGGTGAACTATAACTTTCTGCTTATATATGGTAAAATAGAACTTTCTGCTTGTATATGGTGAACTAGAACTTTCTGCTTGTATATGGTAAACTAGAACTTTCTGCTTGTATATGGTGAACTAGAACTTTCTGCTTATATATGGTAAACTAGAACTTTCTGCTTGTATATAGTGAACTAGAACTTTTTGCTTATATATGGTAAACTAGAACTTTCTGCTTGTATATGGTGAACTAGAACTTTCTGCTTATATATGGTAAACTAGAACTTTCTGCTTGTATATGGTGAACTAGAACTTTCTGCTTATATCTGGTTAACTAGAACTTTCTGCTTATATGGTGAACTAGAACTTTCTGCTTGTATATGGTGAACTAGAACTTTCTGCTTATATATGGTTAACTAGAACTTTCTGCTTATATGGTGAACTAGAAAAATTTATGAGATTATTTAATCATTTCTTTATAATTGCTTTAAAAAAATTATTAATTATTATTAAAACTATTAATTTTAATGCTTTTAAATTTATTAAGTTTGAAATGTTAATTGAGACGCTTCTAAATTAAAAAATATATTAGTTTTATTCTTTTTTATTATTTTCTCTGGTTTACCCGATATTTATTTTATCATCCTTTAAGTTCAATTCTCTTTTCAGTTTATGGGTTTTTTATTTTTTATTTTCTTTTTCAATAAAGAATTTTATAATTAAATGATCCTGAATGAGTATCAAATGGTCTTTATCCTCAAAGGCCAACACTCTTCTTCATTTCCAGTTGCTTCTGAGGTACCTTAAGCTTTTTTTTTTTTTTTTATCTCTATTCTTATATATACTTTTAGTGGCTTGTGAATTTTAACTCTAACAAAACTCAGTTATTTACTCTAAACAACTATATTGTTGACATTACTCCAAACAACAATATTGTTGACATTACTCCAAACAACTATCACAATATTGTTGACATTCCTATATTGATTAAAGACAACCTTAGAAGATCAAAGAGTTGTGTAGTAGAGGACTGGCTGAGTCCTCTGCTATACAACTTTCTCCTTTAGCAGAATAAATGTTAATAATTAAAATAATAATTTTTATAAGTATATTTGTTTATATTATTATAAAATAACAATAATAATAAAAATAATAACAGTAGTAACAATTAAAATCTTAATAAGAAGAAAAATTTACAACACTACAACAAACTAATTTAATTTTATAAATAATAAAGTTTAAACAAAGAATTTATTATTATGAATTCGTTTCAATTTAAAAATTGAGATCAAGAAGTTTTTATATTAAATTTTTATATTAAATGATAATAATAATAACTACCTAAATATATTATAATAGAGAATATTCTCTAATAGCAAAAGTATTTTGAGAGAAAATGGAGAAAACAAGAAAACAACGATAATATAAAAAAAATACAACAAAAACAAAAAATTGGTGTTTGCTTACATAATTCTAATCCAGAAAAACATATTACTTTATTAAAAAAATAAACTTTTTCTACTGTTTTTTTATTTTATTAAATTATATGATATATTGCTGTTGTTGTTTTTTTTTATTTTGTTTTACAATTTTGCACATGAATTAAGTTTCTGTTATTCATTTTTACTAATATTTAACATTTTTTAGCCAATCAAAAATCTGGTATCCTACAAGCAAGTGTGGTATCTGTGTATGTTACATATCTGAATTTTTCAGCACTGGGCGCTGAGCCTGTAGGTATGTGAGTATTGGTTTGGTGTTCATCAAGCTTTTAAGTAACATTTTATTTTACACTTTTCCTTAGGGTAACCTTTATTGTTATTTATGTGTATGTTGTCTATAGATTGAAAAGGACAGCCTTTGTTTTTATTTATTATGTGTATGTTGTCCATAGATTAAAAACTTATAAAAACTGTTTGAGTTCAACAAATTTTAATATTATTGCAGTTGCAGTTATTGATTACAAATTCATAACAGTATTGTTGTTATTGTAACTTACTGCTTAGGAGTAACTGATTAACGATATTAATAACAAAAACAAAATAAAAAATCTCTCCCCCTGACCATATTTGACTCTTTTTTAATGATTTATAGTCTTCTTTCTTTGTCTACCTTTTTTACATCAGAGTGAATTTTTAGTAATTTTGGATAAATATTTTCAAAAAAATCAATTTTGCTTTCATATTAAGTTTTTCAAGATCACTGTGGAGAGTAGCAGAAAAATAAAAACTATGTTTTGCTATTGTTATAACTATCGTTATAAGAGAATATTCTAAAAAGCAAATGAGGGGTCATAACCCCTCTTTTGCTTTGTTTGTAGCAGCAGAAAAATGATTGTTTCTAAAATATTTAACTTGAGCTATCCTTGATGTTTGGAATTGCCTGATCTTAGGCCAATAGAATATGAGGTGAACATCTACAGGTAATATTAACATTAAAATCATCTAGAGTTTTCAATTGTTGTCTCATTTTTGACACATTTGTGGTTTTAATAAGGTATGAATCCAATTTAGTTGCACTGTCTTGCCACTGCACAGTGGGGCAGAATTGCCTAAAGATGGCAAAGCTATTTTTGGGTTAAGTATAGACATATGATACATGTTTATAGAACTTTTTGGGGCCAAGGATTTCATTTTTGAGCTCCATTTTAATTTTTGGATTGGTCTTAACCACACAAATGGGTATTTTAGGGGTTTTCAAGGGTTGTCATGGGGTTTCTCAATGGTTTTTAAATTAGATGGGACATGTTGTATATCTAAATATAGGTAACTGCAATATTCGGTCTTCAAAAGTGGTCATGACCACTCAGGTGATCATTTTAATGGTGCTCAATGGTGGTCCTGGAATATCCCAACGGTTTTTCAATTAGATGTGTGTCTAAATATAGGTAATTTATATCCGGAAAATTAAATCTGGCCATATTTGGTCTTCAGGAGTGGTTGTAATTGCACAGATAAGTGTGGTCATGGGTTGTGAAGATATTTTGGTGATTTTTATTTATTTTATTTACTTAATTTCTTTGATATTGTGAATAAAAACAAATAACGTTCAATAAAGTTGAACTTTACTAACATTCATATATATATATATATATATATATATATATATATATATATATATATATATATATATATATAAAAGAATCTAGGTGATGACATGCATCATACATTTGTATATCAAGAGCCTCTTGGCCTCCTTAGGTTAATTGGAGTCTTTTACTTTTTCCTGACTCCTGACTGCATTTTAGAAAGTTATTTAGATGTCATTAAAACTAAAAGTACTAGATGATGTAGTTTGATGTAAATTTTTTTTTTTTTTTTCATAAACTAGAAAGTTTTAACTCTTCACTAAACAATAAACTCTTCTTCTTACATAAATAAAAACTTTTTACACAAATAATGCGGTAGTGGTGTAGTGGTAGAGCGCTCGCTTCATAAACGAGTGGTTCCGAGTTCGATCCCCACCACGTCCCTGGTAGTACCGCGCTCAACTCGTTTCTCCGCACAGCGGCCTTGTTCGTCAAGGTTCGTGTTTTGGAGTTATAGAGTTGAGAGAGGGTTATAGTCACAAATAAGTAGCCTCCTCGTCTGTAGTGGCCTTCTCGGCCTTGAGGAGGTGAATTAAAATAAAAAAAAATTAAAAAAAAAAAAAATCTCTTCAGTGACGAATCCAGCATTTTTTGGTGTTTGAGATAGCTAACTTCCAAACATGGAACAAACTCCAAACATTTCTATGTTTATACTTATCTAAAATGATGATACTTTGCAAAAAATTAAGATAAATAGAGACTGGGAACAAATAAGCCACAAAATTTAGTTAACCATATCCTTCCACCCCCCTTCCACCCCTAAAATATTACTGTATAAAGTTTACTGTACAAACCCCCTCAATTTGAGAGGTTTACAAATTTTATATGGTCATAATTTTTGAATGCTTTTGATTTTGACAGATAATACTATGAAATTTAAAATTTATGAATATAAGTCTAGTTGAAAATAGTACAAAAAAAATTTTATCAACTTGTTGCCCTTATGTTTGGGTGAGGGAGGGTTGGGATAAAAAATCCTTATTTGTTCCCTCCCCTTTCATAAAATATTCCATAACTTTTCACACTAACATTAAATTTAAAAAAGATTTTACTAAGATTTAAATGATTAAAACTGTTCTTTATGTTGTTCTTTATGTGTTCTTCATATTGTTTTTATGTGTCCTTCAGTTTTTAAAGTAAAATCTATGATTGGATATCATTTATAATAAAAAGCCTAGTACCTACTGCGCTCAGCTAAGGTCAGAAAATTTGGTTGAAAATTTTTATCTATATATAAGTGTGTAATTTAGAGTAAATCACATGTACGGCCTAGTGTTTTTCGGCTTTTGTAAAGATAAGTGTTAAAAATAATGTTGTGCATTTAACGGGGTTTTATTGAAAAACACTTTGAAAAAAAGCAAGCATAAAAAATAAATTTTCATATTTCTTCTTTTTATTCCAATATATGATGTCAATGGACTAATATAAATTTTTAAAAAATTAAAATGTTGTAAAATTGTTTTGCAGCCCTCATTTCATTTTTATATGATTGTTTTTACATTTTCACCAATATTTAAAAAATAAAATATTGTCATTTTTGTAGTAAAATTGATTTACTGAGCTCAAAAATCACAGTAGGGAAAAATTTATATCAGTTTTAGATAATGCTGGGGGTCTCTAGATTACATTTACAAAAAGAAGTTACTCCAATATAAAAGCAGGTTTTGAAGGATTTTGCTCATTTCTGGCCCACTGTGCACTGCTTGGTCTTGCCATTGCCTTTTTATATGAACACAAAATTTCTTTATCACAATGGTTGACTAGATTCAGTTTTCTTAACAGAACATTAACTAGTTTGTGGTTCTTCATAGTGTTGCAAAAAAACGCGTTTTTTTGCTGTCACGTTTTTTTTCACCCAAAAACGTGTTTTTTTGGCGGTTTTTTTTTTGGTTTTTTGGACTTTAACACATTCTTAAGGTTTACTAATTTTGTGAGACCAGAGACATTAGCAAAAGAGCTAAGAAAATATAGATCTTTTTTATTAGTAAAAGGGCGAACCAAATTTCACTATTATTTAAAATTAGATAACAAACAACAGTTATTTTTTTTATGTTCTGTGTAACCACAGACTACAGATACCTAACTTAGGTATCCCATTGCTTATGTGTTTGGTATTGTTTTCAAATTTTTATTCAGTAAAAGTTTAAATTCAAAATTTAATAGAAAACAACAGTTTTATTTCAGGTTTTGTTATTTAAAATTCATCTCCTGAAAAATCATGATTGTAAAATTCAGATAATTCTTGATCTAGTGAGTCATCTGAAATATTGATTGATACACGAGATTCATCTGATGTATTTAATGATTCTTTAGGCAAGATTGGTTGTTGTGTTAGACACATATCCATTGCTTCCAATCTTAAATTTTGTGATACAAACACTAATTTGCCTGCCCTTTCATTTGTCAACCTGTTTCTTTTGGCATTGTGAATATTTGCATAACTGCTAAAACTTCTCTCACAAGCAGCACTTGTAGCTGGAAGCTGAAGAATTTTTGCTGCTACTTTGGATAATTCTGTTGATGAACATAATCTCTTCCACCAATTCGGAGCAAATGTTAAGTCAATTGCTGTCCATAAAAAACTTTTTGAAAAAACGCCTCCTTTACATTGGTAATTTGCTAAATCAGACATCAAAATATCTATTTTGATATTAGACGAATTTACAGCAATTGAATGGATTATTTCACATGCATCAATCTGTTAAAAAGTGTAGAATATTGGTTAAAATTAAGTTAAATTTTTCTTTTTTCAAATCTAAAATTACTATTAACTTATCTTTTGTTTCCCATTTAAATATCTTCCTTGATACTTGGGGTCAAGTAGATTAGCAGCCATATGAATTTCTGTTAAGCAAAATTTTTTTCTTTTTGCAAATAGTTTCTTCATTTCTGCTTCTTTTTTGCAAATATTTTCTTCATTTCTGCTTCTTCTTTTTTGCAAATAGTTCTTCATTTCTGCTTCTTCTTTTTTGCAAATAGTTTCTTCATTTCTGCTTCTTCTTTTTTGCAAATAGTTTCTTCATTTCTGCTTCTTCTTTTTTACAAATAGTTTCTTCATTTCTGCTTTTTCTCTTTTGCAAATAGTTTCTTTATTTCTGCTTCTTCTTTTTTGCAAATAGTTTCTTCATTTCTGCTTCTTATAGATGACAGCATTGGGCTATCTGCTTCTGTTATTTTAATTGCATCAGCTATTGTTGCTAGCAGAACTAAAAATCCTTGAACTTTATCCCAAAAAATATCTGATAACAAATTGTTTTTAATCATTGAATTTAACACACAGCGTTCAGAAATAGCCAAAGTTTTTAAGCACTGTTTATTTTTTTGTAAACTCTCGAGGCATGCTACAGTTGAACCCCATCTAATAATAAATAGGTTTTAATCACTAATACTAACTTGATTAAAAAAAGTAAAAGAACAAATATATATTTTATAAAGCTATGCTTCAATTACTTGTGCAAAACTTACAAGTACCTGGTTTTTACAGGAAGTTTTAATGAAATGCTTTACTCCACTGATGATTTTTGAATTTCTCTAAATATTGCACCTAATATGTGAGAATTTTTTACTTCCTTTACAATATCTGTTGCTTGTGACATTAACACACAAAGAGTAGGAAGTTTCATAAAATCATTAAAAAGTAAATTTAAAA